CGATCGGCTCTGGAACAGGAACTCGAATAATGTCCCCATCCGTTGTCTCGACCATGAGCTGCTCGCCTTCGGACGTCTCCACCACCTTGGCCTCCTTTTCTGTGTAGCCACCTTCGTTGTCCGGAATCTGCACAGTCTGCTTGCCATTTTCCGGTTCACCAACGATGATCACCTGCTCCGTCTCACCGGTGGAAGTCACGACGTCCACAACTTGAGTGTTTTCCGTCGACTCAGTCACCTCGGTGGGCATTTCAGGCACCACGACGGGGGTGATGTCGCCTTCAGCGTTCGGAATCAGGATCTTCTGCTCACCCGTCGGAGTCTCAATTGAGCGCACCTCCGTCGTAGTGTAGCCACCTTCTTCATCCGGAATAGCAATGGTTTGCTTCCCGTCTTCAGGTTCCCCGACAATAATGACCTCAGTCGTACCTCCATCGGGCGTCGGGATCTCGACAGTTTGCTGGTTCTCGGTCGGAATTTCTTCCTCCTCCTGATCCGGAGGGGTGACCGCAATGGTAACTCGGGGGCAGAAGACGTCCAACAGATAGTAGAAGATCTCGTGATCCGCTCGGGTCACTGCAGCTTGACGTTGATCCAGCGCCTGTCTGGTGCAGTCGCTGTCGCTCTTGAGCTTGCCCTCCAAGAGCGCCACCACGTTCTTCTTAATGTCCTCGGGGAGATCAGAGGCCTTGACCCTGTCGACATCGACCATCTCCTTCTGGGTCAGATCAGCGATGACCTCTTTCTTGGACAGTTTGCCGTCGTGGTCTTGGTCGATCCGTTCAAAGTCCGGGTGGAAGGCGTCGCCCAGCTTGGAGATGAACGCCTTGGCCTCGTTGGACATATCGGCCTTGAGGTTGGCCGTCTTGACAGCGGAAGTCGAGCCGGCGTTCTTCATGGCCGTGTAGCCCACACCGGCCGATGCAGCCAGCAGCCCGAGCGTGGCTCCAGCGATGGCCAGACGCTTCTTCTGACGTCGCTTGTTGTTGGGGCGGTCAGGTGCCGCCACGCGCCGGATAAAGTGCGCTTCTTCATTCTCACTCCCGTAGTTGGTCGGAGACTTCATGTCCGCTTGAAAGGGTGGAGCTCACTCAGTGACTAGCAAGCTCAGGTTTGGACGATGCTTCGTTGCCGTGGAAAGTTGTGAAGTGATTGAGACCAACGAGCTTCGACTCGGCTCATGGTCATCGCTTTGGAAAGATCCCTGGGATGAGACTGTGGTGAAGATCTCGGCATTGCATGGAGAGAGTCGTGTGCTTGGACCATGATAACCGCATATCGACGATCTAAAGCGCAAAGGGTCGGGAGATCCGCTTGACCCGACGCAGGAGACTAAATGGACGGACATGAGGGAAGATCGCCTTAAGAAGTTGAAGAGGCACTCCGTGGCAATTAGATTCACTCGCGCCTTTCGAGAATTGTTTTTAACCGCACGATCCGCTGACAAAGATACGGTGGGGCACGTGCATCAGCAGAACGAAGATCACTGGCAGACACTCCATTTTCATGACTATGGCAACTGGAATCTTCCTCGGTACTCTGTTTCGCAACCAGGGTCACTTCAACTTGGAGCCTTTTGCCAAAAGCTTTGGGCATAGTCTCGTTCGTCACAAACCAAACACTTGTAGCAGAACCTGCTGCGGTTCCTCTTGAAAAGCTGTTCGAGCTCCAACATCACTTCTTTGCAATGTCATTGCAGCAAGATAGATCGCTTGGACATGGCGTGTCGAGTGCTAGATGCAAGAAAAGCTATAGAACGCACAATTGAGGCCTGCCTTGCCTTCAGCCGAAGCTTCCGAAGCACGGCAATCCGCGGTAGAAATTCACAGCAGCTGAAGGTCAGCCGGCTTTCTCGATATCACAGACGCTCAAGTTGAAGTCGTGTATACAAACACCAAGTGTTCGTCTACATGATCCAGTTTCTTATTCTCCACACAACTTCATTTGTCAATCACCACCATGGAGTTCCAGCTCAAGAAGCTTCGTCTTCGAGACGAATGGACGTTGCCAAGCTTCAGATCGGTGTTTCCGGACGCTTCCAGCAGTCAAGCAACCTCCGAGGCCATACCAGTTGACGCTTCGATGACACTGGGAGGACTTCCACCCATCAGCGCGTTGAACGAGACGCAGCAGAACGACGTCAATACTGAAGACGTTTCCAATACCGACACCACACTTTCCAACGAAATCATGACGGCCTTTGACAGTCTTGACGCTCAAGCAGAATCGGACGCATTACCACTCGAATTTCAATGCCGCTACCGTCACGGAAAATGTTCCAAACCTCGCACACTCAAGAAGAACGGATCGATGCACAGCTTCTGCGAATACCATCGACAGCTTTCGGTACGCAACCAACGAGTATTCGACCAGAAAAAGCGACACAAACAGGAGCTTCCAACCAGCAATACTGCAAGCAACATCTCCAACCACGAAGATGCCCAGCAGGACACACATGAAGCGAAGAAGCGACCCAAACGCAGACGCCGAACGGTGTAACTACCTAATCATCATATACGACAACTCACAAGCCGCTAGCATAGCAGAACATCGCACCAATGTAAGCAAAAAGAGTCGCATTGATACTTACTCTCACAACGCGTCTCCATTCGCAGTGTCTCGACAATCCTACCAACCACAACGTCTTTAGTATCTCAACATCCTCTGTCACTGCTCTAAAGCTTAGTCCACAACGATCGACCACGGGTGCTCGCGACGGCCGTACTGGATGTCGGACAGCTCCTTCCACACGCGCTCGGCTAGCTTGCCAGCCTTGCCGTCCGTGCCGTCCAGCGGGATGGCCAGGTCCTCGTCCATGTAGTTGATGGTGGACACGGGGGACACCACGGCGGCCGTGCCAGAGCCGAAGATCTCAATGATGCGTCCTTCCTTGCTGGCCTTCTGCAGCTGCTTCATGTTGATGTTGCCCTCCGTGACCTTGAACTCGTTCCACTCGCGTGTGAGGTGCAGGATCGAGTCGCGCGTGATACCGGGCAGGATGTCACCACGGGTAAGCGGGGGCGTGATCAGCTCCTTCTCGCCCTGCTCATTGATCCAGTGGATGAACAGGTTCATAGTACCGACCTCGGTGATCTCGTGATCAGGGCCGAAGATCCACAGATTCTGCGAGTAACCCTGCTCTTGGGCGTCGAACTGGGGCAGAATACCGGGGGCGTAGTTCGCACCGACCTTGAAACCACCGGTGCCACCAGGCCACGCACGGATGTAGCGGTCGTTAGCGCAGAGCTTCACGGGGTTGAAGCCCTCGGGGTAGTACGGACCCACAGGCGAGAGGATGATGAAAAGCTTGGCCTTCTCGCTGGCACCCACACCGATGGATGCCTGGGTACTGATGCCCGTGGGACGAATGTACAGCGAGTAGCCCTCGCCCTTGGGAACCCAGTCCTTGTCCAGGCGGATGAGCTCTTCCAAGCACTTAGTGAGCTCGTCACCGTCGAATTCCGGCAGCAACAGACGCTTCATGGAGTTATTGAGGCGCTTCATGTTCATGTCCGGACGGAAGAGACGGATCTGGCCGTCGGCGTCCACGTACGCCTTCATGCCTTCGAAGCATTCGAGTGCGTAGTGCAGCACGGCGCTGGCCGGATCTAGGGCCATAGGGCCGTACGGGTGGATCACGGGGCTGCCCCAGCCTTTGCCCAGTTCCCAGTCCACCTCGAGCATGTGGTCCGTGAACGTCTTGCCGAATTTAAGCTGCTCCTTCGGGAGTTTGGGCTTGGGGTTCGAGGTGCGCTCGACCTGCAGGTTGGCGTACGAGATGTCGGCGCCTGTGGAGAAGGCGGCTGCGCGTGAAGACGTCATCCGGCCCAGAGTCTTGGCACCACGGGCGAGCATAACTGGAAGTGCTTGGGCGCGAGGAGATGAATTTGGGAATGACACATTGCAGCTGTGGCAGATAAATGGGATACTTAGTGGAGATGTCAAATATGTGGAAATTTGTAAGGTGAAGAGTTTTGCGAGCTGGGAATGAGAGATGCGCAAACAATTTGAGGAGTGTCAGGTGTACTGCCAATATATAACTTGTATCAATATAGTTTGTTTAAAATTAACTTGTGTTTGGAGCACTTCATTCGGCTCCAACTTGTTGTTTCTTGTGGCGGAAACTACACCTCCTTTGATACTTTCTCGCTGACGTGCTCAGAGGGAGCAGAGGGAAGCTGGCCCGTAGATGCTGAACCTGAAGGGGCCTTGGAGGAGTCCTTAGGTGCCTCCGCAAGACCATCCTCCTTTGCAGGATGAGACTCCACCTTGTGGGTGTGGTCGCTTTCCTTGTGTTCTTCGTCTCCCTTGTGCTCGTGGTGCTCAACATGCTTCTGGTGGTGCTCTTCGTTTTTGTGAGCATGGTGATCTCCATCGCTATGAACGTGGTGGTCTCCATCTTTGTGGGCGTGGTGGTCTCCTTCTTTATGGGCGTGGTGATCTCCTTCTTTATGGGCGTGGTGCTCTCCCTCTTTGTGAGCATGGTGCTCGCCATCTTTGTGATGATGTTCTTCCTTGTGACAGTGGTGTTCACCGTTTTCATGGTGCTCGTCCTTGTGAGATGCCCCCTTGTGAGCTTCGTCCTTTTGAGGCTCTTCCTTGTGGCTTTCATGAGCACCAACATCAGCAGGTGGTATCTCTTTCGCGCTCTTGTGGCGGGCATCTGAGGAATCAACTGGGGGACCGTCAGTCCAGATGGACTTGAGCTTGGAAAACTTCTCGGCATCGTCCGCGGTCGACTCCATGATAGCCTTCGACTGGAGGAACTTGGCCTCATCGTACGGCGTGTTCTCAATCGATGCAGCTCCACCCATAGCTATGGTCTCGAACCAGTCTGTACTGTAGCGGTTTTGGTAGCAAAACGACGAATGGAAAACGAAGTGGTTCCCGCCTCCCTTCTCATGTCAATTCGCCATCACTGCGGGATCATCTCATGGCTGTTGAAAGAGTCACAGAAATAGGTGGCCAGGCCGTGATGGCCGTGGTATTCAGACCAGGCTTTCAGTGCCAGACAGGTTGCTAAGATTAGAGGCTTTTGACCTATACTTGCCCGCAACGAGTGTGCGATGCCAAACACCGAGGAGTTTCGCTTCCAGACTTTGTAGTCACCGCAGCCTCAGTCAGACCATGATTCAAAATAGCAAACCTATTCTAGGTAATGCGGCAGACTTTGATCTTCTCAGTACATTTCAGCGTGTTGTTAAACTTTAGCCAGGCTGTTTTTTGTACGTATCTGACTGCATCAAAACAAGTTGATGCGATGCAGTTTTGACATGTATACTTAAACGAGGTGTTGCATATTGCACATTCAAGTTTGTTAGTGTAAAGTGTGTTATTCCTTTGTCTTGCCACTATACGTAAGCGATGCTACACGTACAGGTTCATCATCTGCATACAATGCAATTCGCAGTTCGTATGCCGGAAGGACTCAACAGTTGTAGCCATGTCAAATTGATTAGATGAGCTGGTTAGAGGTACTTACGGTCATCAGAACAATTCGTGCGATTCTTGTGGTCACTAGCAGCTCTCTTCGCTATGCAGCAAACATTCACGCATCCAACATATACGCCAGTAATTCGGGTGACTGCTGAAATGGCAAACATGGTTGTCATTGCCGATCCAATCAACCACGTGATCGACACAAGAGAGGTGGAATGCCAAAGCATCTAGCTCCTTGACCAGTGGTCAATGACCACACGATACAGTGTAGTGTCATTGTAAATAGCAGCTGCAGTGGCCACAAACTGGTCGCCAATATAGTGGTAGATGCGGAGGTTGCTCACCATGCTGGTGCTCAACTTTCGTCGGTGACGAATCGTCACCAATGCTTCTGAACTATCCATCGTGCCAACAAGTACGGCGAGGTCCCCGTTTTCTTCTACGACCGCGACTTGGTGCACCATGATTACATCGTGGGATGTTCCAATCCTCGGCTGTCCAAGTAGACCTTGAAAGGGTAGCGTTAGCTTCCAGAAGACCATATCTTTTTCGGAAATGGCTATATTCTCATTTTTTTTTTTTTTGCGAATGTAGCCCTTCTTCGAAACTTTTCAACCAATCACAGAATGCCGATGGCGGACAAGAAGCGCGCATCGAGTTCGCCTCCTCGTGTCGGCAAGGCACTGGACCACCAACCTTCCAAGCGAAAACGAACCGACACATGTCCAGTCAAGAAACCCGCAGCTCTCCCTGATGCAGAGGTAGAGCTTTTACGTGCTTTAGAGGAAGAAATATTGAAAGAAGAAGAAAAGATCAAACTCGACAAGAACAAGAAGTTCCCGCCCGAAGAAGAAGATGACGACTATGATGAATCAGATGACGAATAAAAAAACGATTAATATGTGGTAGGACCCTTCTTAAGCTCCTCATTGAGCCAACCACACATCGCACGGACGCTGTCTCGGTCTTGGGCACAACACTCAACGACATTCGTGAAGAGTGAGGACACAGCCGAGGAATTAGCAGCAGTTGAAGCGCTATTACGCCTCCCTTGATTACTTGCGGGTCCCAGCTCAGCAGCCACAGCAGCAGGGGCTGCAAAGAATAGGGACTTTGATTTAGACGACGCGGCTGCAGTTGAAGCTCCCACGTTAACGGGATGACGTCGTTGATCCATTTTCAGCTCATAGTCGACACATTTCCGGAGCTCTCGACGGGCTTCACGTATCATAGCACGTTGCTGTTGTTTGTGTTTGTTAAGAAGTTGCTGGTACTCTTTGGATTCCGGTTCTTCTGGGGTTTCAGACGGTAGTGAAGGTAAAAATTGGTCGATTTTGTTGAATACGAGGAAAATTTGTGTATTCGCCAGGAATTTGTGCATAGATTTGTGTTTGAGTAAGCGGACGAGTTCCGTGGCGACGATAGGGAAACGAGGGCTGTCCGATACATCGACAACGAACAGCACGGCGACAATAGGAAGAGAAGCTTGGAAATTGTTGGCAACTGCAGTAGGAGCAACGTTGTTGAGGTTGTTGCTGTTGTCACTGAAAGTAGACAAGTCGTTGGTGGCGCTGTACCATTTAGCTCGACATGTACGACGACCGGGTAGATCAACAAGCAGCAAATATCTGTCGCTATTATCCACTCGATAACTTGCAGTCTGTAGTGTCCGCGTCGGATCCGGGTACAAGTAGGAAGGCAACTCAATACCTTTGTTAGTGTAAATACTCATGTCTTCGCCGATGGAGATTCGTGAAAGATGGTTTACTAGCGTCGACTTGCCGGCACCATCCAGTCCCAATACAAGCAGTTTACCACGGTGTTTCTTTGCGGCATGCTGCCGTGTTAGCATACCCGTGAGCATCCGCAGTGATCCTCGATAGTCCGTTTCGGAGGAAGCTTCCCGCTCTTGATAAGCCAACAACTCGTGCGATGTGAATCCCCCCATTTTCACAGATTACAGGTCACTAGAAGTTTGTTGTTCTGCGGTGACGCCTATTTCTGCTGCGTTGTTGAGCGGTTAAGTAGTTTTTAAGTATTGTTGCTTGTTCGCCATAAATAGTGGCGATGGAAATGAGACGAATACTGCATCGAATTCAACCTCACATAGCGTGAAACTAGTCGAAGACGATGGACTCGGAAGGTGATGGAACTGGGATTGACCGCAAGACATTCAAAGACGGAGCAGCTGTGCTTGTGCGCGACGAAGATGGAGATTTACTTGACGCAACCATTGTTCGCCAGCACCGGAATGGTGACTACGTGGTTGAGTACAACGAGACGGGAAAAATGGAGAAGAACGTACCGAAAGACCGTATCCAGTCCGCCGATGATGGGAACGCGAGGAGTCGTAATTTAGACAAGGACGACGAGCTTCAAGTCGACACAGCAGTGCAGTTCAAGAACGAGAAGGGGGAATGGAGCGACGGTCAAATTCGCAGGCTCCGCAGCAATGGTAGATACGACATTGCGCTCGAAGGAGATGAAGTGGTCAGGAATGTCGAGAGGAGAGATATCCGAGTCACCAAGACACCGAGTAGGAAGAAAAGTGTGGATGCTGAAGTAGACAGCGAGGATGAAGATGAGGAGCGTGCTATGAGGAAAAGGAGGTCTAGAACCAGAGGCGGTAGAAGTAAGCGCGAGTTGGTCACGAGTGAAGATGAAAGTGACGATAGCGTCGGTCCTCTACGGCAAGGCCGACGGAGCGGTGGAGCAGGATTCCCCCAGTTGCGAGTGAATCAATTGGTCGAGTTCGAAGATAAAAGCGGGCGTATTCGTCGTGGACGGATCAAAATGCTCAACCGGGAGCAACAAATGTGCGACGTGGAGCATGAAAGTGACGCTGGAAGAGTCTCGAGGCGTATCCCTCTCGACGTCGTTCGGCCCGCCAGCTCATTTGGTCGCTTTTTTGGCGGGACGAACCGAAATTTTGTGCCATTTCAGCTGAACACGCATGTGTATTATCGCACAAAAGACGGCATGGAGCGGAAAGGAATTGTACTCAAAGTATCCAAGACCAGTGGCAGGACACTCTACGAAGTGGAGGATTTACTGGATGGAACAATGATTAAACAGCTATCAGTTGGGAAGCTACGAGCTGTTCCGTGGCTTGATTACACCCTTCCGAGCTGGAACGGTATGCCGAATTTACCAACTTTTTCACTGTTTTCCGCGCCTATACTTCGAAGAGGAATGAATGTCCGCTTTCGTCGGACTGAAGAGAAAACAGGACGTAGTGGGTGGAAAGGTGGAGTCATCGTGAAGGCCAAGGCGAACGCTTGCTGTATCGTGGAATACTACGGACCAAACGGTGACTGTAAGCGGGAAGAAGTCAAGAACTCCGACATCCAAGCTCGGTTCTTTCGGATGCCGTTCAGCGGAATGATGGACGGTGTTCTGGATGGTTTATCGCTTCCAACTATTCAACTACCTGCCGGTATGTTTAAGGTTGGAAGTGCCGTGGAAGTGTCCAATGGAGCCAGAGTTTTCCTCGGAACAGTAGTGAGTTCTAACGAGATGGACAAGACGTACACAATCCGATACGAAGACGGTCGAAAGGAGAAAAACGTGCCAAGTGATCGTGTTCGGTTATCACTACGTCGCTTGCGAATTGGTACCGAGGTGGAAATGATCGTTGAAGGTCCGTGCAAAGAAGTATCCAAGTTAGACGGCGAGGTGGCATGGATCCATCGAGACGAGAAAGTTGCGGTTCGCATCAACGGCGGCAACAATGATGTTTTCGCTGAAGTTTGCACTCACGCTCTGATGGTCGATGGTAAACCAGCGTTTACGGCTCCGTTAAGTAGCACGTGGCTGGAACTTTTGGGGTACTACTTGAATTTAGCAGCCGAACTATTCGTCTACACTTGGTTTTTCTTTGGCTTCATGGTCGAGATGGATGAAATGCTGACATTGCACGAAGACACGGCGCCAGATTTACTGCAAAACCAAGAGCACATGACCGCAATGTACACAAGTCAGCAGGTGGATTGGACTCTCTGTCATCATCCAGCACTGCAGAATGCATCGTCGTCAGATTATTTGTTGATTTCTTCCGATGTGATGGCTACCGATCGCGCGTGGCTCATGGCTTTGTTAGTATCGAAGGCTGTCTTAACTGCGGGTTGTGCTCTCTTGGTGCTGCGGTGCTTACGATCCAAGTTGTCAGCACTACAAGATGAGTACGTTAGACTCTTTAAATGTTGTTTCCTGCTTATCTAACGTTGTTTTTTGTTCAGCTTCATTGACTTGAAAGAATACCAACAAGAACGTGTGATGCGACGACATCTAGCAGTTGCAATGGGTTGGGCTCTCATCGTGACGTTCATGACACTAGTCAACTACGCTTCATTGTTGAATCGGTTCGACTACTACTGTCTGCTAAACGACAAAACGTTGAGCTTCGACGAGCTCGCATTGAGTATTAACCCTTTCGCGATTCATTCTAGCTACTCGAACTCCGTTCAACTTCTGATCTCTCTTGCGGCCAAGACCACCTTCAATCTCTTTCGAGGCGTGACTTTCCACCTGCTGCTCTTCGCGTTCCCAACCAGTGGCACGAACTTCATTCGACGCCTGGTGTTCTTACTACCATCTATCGCAGTGACAGCGCTACTCTGTGCTGTAGGTGGAGCAGCACTGCACACGTTTTACTACGTTCAGAAGACCGAGATACTGAGTGACAGGACACTGGAGATGTCCACCAACACCGATCTATCGGTGCTTCTACTGGTCTTGTCGCTCTGGTTCATCTACTGCGTATACAACGTGGGGGCTGCAGCTGGTCGATTCTCTGAGACTCGATTGGAGCGACAACGAACGTCACGAGATGAAGTATCGGAGGACGTACTGGATCTCGCGGAACGTGGAGAATTCGGTCTACAAGCACAACGTGAAGCGTTGGTGACCAAGGTGGAACAACGTCAGGACCAACTTGGCATCTGTAAGCTGAGTATCCTGCGCATCTACCGCCACATCATCGTCCACTTTGCAGCCGCTGCAGTTGCAATCTACATTGACGTAGCTCTACGTCGTGTGGTCAAGGAGTCCAATGGGAGTTCAGTGGCGTTGAACGCTTTGGCTTTCCACCTCGCAGTGTCGATCACGTGGTTGGTCGGATCAGCGATGGCAGTCATGTTTGCCATCTCACTACGACAGCAGTCACCGGAATTGCTGGCGTATATCTTGGATGTGTAAGAGCAGAATAAACACACGTTAAAACTACACTTCCAATAGAACTGTAGGGGTTGAATAGCGTTCAAAACCATCATCTAACCTCATCCAGTTGCTCTACTTGGTCACGTAGTTTTCGAACAGCGAGGTGAAGTAGTTCGGGTCCGTGATGGCTGCGAAGGGCTCCACTCGTTGGAGGTACTTACCGCGGCTCTTTTCGAAGGCCACAGGGGCACCCGAGCGAACGTCACGCACATCCACAATGTGAGAGTGATGAGCCTCAATGTGGTCGTCAAAGAAGACACTAACGTCATCCTTCTCTTCATCAACCAATAGCAACTTCCCGTACTGCCCGTCCTCAGCATGAGCACTCCACCACTCCCAGTAGTCACGAAGAGCCAGCGTACTAGCACCCTGCAGCATACCACCCAGAGTCTCTTGAATAGACTGGAAGCCGCGCATCACCTTAACTTCCGGCTCCGAAGCCGCGTAGAAGTTGTTGGGAGCACTGGCCCCTTCCTCCGCCAGCTTGGACGAGAACGGCACCTTGGTGAGCGTTCCCACTGCCAACGCCGTGCCGTCAGTCTCAAATCCGTCGCGATAGAACGTGCCGATACGACGTGCACTGGGCTCCAGCTTGAGTCGGAACCGCTCCGGTAGGGCAGGTAGACCCACGGGGTGTTGTCCGTCCACGAGGAGATCCAGCTCCTTCGCGACCTCTACAATGTCATCACCAAAGGTGCGAAACACGAGCTTCACGTCCATCTCTTTGTCTGTCACTTTAGGAGACGCCAAGTACGACAAGAACTGCAAGAATGATGGTAACAGGTAGTAGCGACCTTCACTCCAGGCCTCCTGGAGTCGAGACTTGGGCATCGTTGCTGCCAATTGCTTGGCTGCTTCTCGCTGCTCTCCCATAGGGAAATGCAGCTTCTCCATCACCTCTTTAAAGGAATCACGCACGCGACGACCAGGTGCGTTGTCCCCACCTGTGAAAGCTGATTGTAACGCTGTGCGCTTCTTCTTGGCTGCTTTATTCACGGCTTTAATCTCGTCGATGTCACTGCCCTGAGCTGTAGCCAGACTCTGGTACGGGTGGGCGTCGTCCACGAACTGCTTGTAGGTTATGAGCTTGTGTCCATTGGATTCAGCCGCTGGGGGCTCAATAGACGACGCGTTCGAGACACAGATCCACTCGGATGGACTGCTGGGGTTCACGTAGCCCCACGTACACTCGGACAGGAGATAATCCACCGTGTTCTCCATAGTGCGACCACCTGCAGCGTCCGACATGAGGACGGTACGGTTCAGGTCGAAGTGCAGCACGACGCTGCGCTTGCTGGTAGCCATGATGGAGGAGAGCGTGGTGGACGAAGGGGGTCAGATGCTGATCAATTTGTGGTCGACCATCGAAATTGGACAAGTTTTTAGCCAATCAAAACTAAGTTTGATTAAAGTGTAGCCATGGTTACCTCTTGCGGCTACTTTTCTTCCTAGATCTCGACTTCGGCGCAGCTTTCTTCTTCTTAGGAGTCTGTTCTTCTTCATGCTCTTCTTCTCCCGTTTCTTCTGCTTCATCGTTCTCCTTTTCAGCATCATCGTCGACTGAGAGCAAGGTCTCTCCTCCACTGTGTTCCTCCTCGTCCCCCGTCTCAATAACAGCAGCAGCAGCGGCCGCTGCCCTGCGTTTCTGTTGACGCGAACTCGTCCTTGTTGCTGGCAGAGACGGACGTCGTCGACGTGCAGGTGCGCGCTTTGCTGGCGTCTTGGACGCCTTCGTGCGTCCTCCAGACTTGCTGTCAGCTTCAGACGCAGAAGCCTCGTGACTCTCTGAGCCACTCACGTCTTCACTCGCAGAAACTGACGCACCGCGTGTACGTTTGCGCAACGGCGATGGGGCTGCCGAGCCAGGACCGTCACTGCTAATACTCGTGCGCTTTCGGATCCGCGTTGATGCTCGCGCCGGTGTAAGAGGTGGAGGGCCAGAAGCTTCGACATTAAGCGCCTTCTCACTCGAGTCCTTGGTCTCAACCGTCTTTGATTCCTTGTCTGCTGTAGGTTTCTCCGCATCCTTGTCGTTTCCATCGCTTTTATCCTCTTTATCGTCACAATTCTTCTCTTCTTCCTCCTTGGTTTGCTCCTGTTCTTTACGAGCCGCCTCCTCTTTACGAGCCGCCTCCTCTTTACGAGCAGCGGCTTCTTCCTCTGCGTCTCGAATCTTCTGCAATAAAATCGCCTCTTTCTTGACACTAGCTTTGCGTAGCGTCTCGGTGAGAGTCCTAGCAAAGTGCAACAACTCGACGCCTTTGCGTCTCGCTTCCGGTTGCTCTCGCTGCTCCGCGTCCGTCACCACATGTTGACAGAACAAATAAACCTGCTCTGCGAACTGCGCCCACTCGCACACTTCTCCTCTTGCGACACGGTCCTGGATCTTCTCTAAATCCACTTGTTCCTCGGTTTTATCTGCATCCTTCTCGTCTTCACTCTTGGAGAACATGCATGGATTTACGTCCTTACTCTTTGCCACCGACACGATCTTGGACAATACGTCCAGTAACATACTCTTCCTCAGAGCCTTCAGACTCGCCAGCGCAGCCTCCGCCTCCTCCTTTTCAGGATTCTTCTCCTCAACAACCGTCTCTTCAACCTTCTCTTCAACCTTCCGTTCAACCTTCTGTTCAACCTTCTCGTCATTCTTCTCGTCATTCTTCTCGTTGTCCTCCACCTTCTCATCAACTTTCTTCTCTTCAGCAGTCATTTCCACATCCTTCTCCTCAGCGTGAGCCTCGGTCTCCTCCATCACAACATCAGCTTTCTCCTGCTCCATTTTTTCCTCCTTCTCCTCCTTCTTCTCCTCTTTCTTCACTTCAGCAACATCCACAGGAGCCACAACGTCTGCTCTAGGGGAGGGTGTGGGCGTGCCATCGCTTGCAGACTGCGAGGCGTCTCCCTCGTCTGGATCTTCGAATCTCCGTCTGGGTCTCGTCCTCGGTCTCTTCCTCTGGCTCCTCACTCGCTGCAGGGCTGAGTGAACAGGCAACTTCACGTCTTTGTCTTCTTTACTGTGCGCTTTCTCCTCCTCTCGCCTTCTGGCAGCCTCAAACTGGTCAACGAGCGCCGCTAACTCCGTAGAGAACGTGGACGTGGCAGGAGTCCAAACTGCCAACAGCGGCGCAAATTGAGGCTCTGGAAGAGACGCTTCACCCGCTGCCACGGCTACTGCAAGTGCTGGGAGGGTTGCGTCTTTCTCTCCGGCGCGGAGGGCCGCGATCTCCGCTTGCAGGAACGCGATGGCCTCATCCAGCTGCGGCAGCGCTGCTTTAGCCTCCATCGTCGTGTTGGGAGTATTTTTGAATGAAAGTTTGTATTGAATGGATTGAGTTGCAGAATAAGAGGATTGATTGCGATATGAGGGTAGATTATGTAGAGTGATGGTTTTTCCTGGCCAAGGACAGGAGATTCGTAGTGGAAAAGTATGCAGAGATTTCACATATTACACTTCTACATGCACCATAGTACCACCGCGGCGACTTCGTAGTTCAGGAGATAGTTTATTACGCTAGCTCCTTCGACAGGATAACCTGAAGCTTGAACAGAACTTCAGCTGCACTAGGTCGCAAGGTCGGGTCTACCGATATGCAAGCGCAGCCAAGATCTGTCAGTGACTTCGGACCTACATCTGAAAACTCTACCGTAACATTTCCCATGGCCACTTTTTGCAGAAGAGTGGCGTCCGTCATTTGTCGCCCATGTGACAGCTGCATCTCCTGTCTCGCCTGGGCGTATGGTAGAGTGTGGGTGTCCAATTCACTCAGCACGACTCCAAACGAGAAGATATCCGCTTTAGTGTCGTAATGTTCGCCCGTCATCACCTCCGGAGCCATCCACAGCGATGTTCCCGCACCAGCAGTCATAGTTCGATCAAGTCGCTCTCGCGAAATCCCGAAGTCTGTTAGTTTGGCTTCGTGCATGTCGTTCAGCAAAATGTTTCTTGACTTCAAGTCCCGATGGATGAGTGGAGGTTCCAAGGAATGCAAATATGTAAGCGCGTGGCACACGTGTAGTGCGATAGTGACCTTCTCACGATCAAACCCAACAGGATGTTGCTTTTGCTTATAGTTGGTCAAGAGCGTGCGTAAGTCTCCACCCTCCATGAATTCCATTACCACGCACAGATCGGAAAGGGAGTCCCACGCGATACCAATGAATGTGACGATACGAGGGTGGTCCATAGTAGCTGTCAATTTTGCCTCAATCAAAAACCCGTTCACAAGTTTCATGTCCCGACGGGTGCTCGGTAGTAGCATCTTGACCGCGACTTGCTCGTTATTGTAGATCCCAGCATATACCTCACCGAAGGCTCCGTGACTGATAAGCGTGAGAATACGGACTTTTTCTCGTGGCAGGCGATTCGCTGTGATGATGTCATCGTCCCACAAACCAGTTTGACCTTGATCAGCTCTGAAGCGGAGCCGACGAATAGCAATGAATCCCAAGGTTATTATGCACAGCAGAAAGATACACATAGTGGTAATCGCGACGATCGTTAGCCCGTCCGGTGACTCATCGTTACCAGTGTCTGGAAATGTACTCTTGAGTGTTTGTACCATAGCCCGTAATGTATCCTCAATTTCAGGCTCGCACCAGGTATGCTCACTAACTTCGGAGCCAGATACTTGTCGACATGGTGCAATGAATTGCACTTCGTTTGGACACGTGTTGTCGTCCATAATCCAGGAACTAGTTTGTGCCAACAGGTAGATTGTTGCGTTGCTGTCACTACCGTCGAACTGGAACAATTGAGGGTCGAAGCTGCCGTTAATGTCGCTGTCTTTGGACCATATTGGGCCATTCTTTTGCTCAAGAGTGAATTCCCAAGATTGACTTTCAGGGCTGACAGCACACGCTGCCCTGGATTCAACGTAACTTGGATCACACGTCGACTCCGTGAAGACGATGGCGCTGTTGTTGCACTTCTCATTAAGTTTGCATGATGTTGAATCATCGAAGATCGAAGAAGACAGGAGAACGCTGTTCATGTTCATGGTGCCATCACATTTTACGTAAGCCTGCACGTAGTGAGCTGAGCCGTCCGTGGGGCGTCCAGAACGGGGAATTGCTTGTACCCATCCAGCGCTCCAAAGTATAGCCCGCTGCAGGCCGTGCGGGAGCCTCTCGAAGTTGGCCACTGTTTCCACAATATCAGTGAGGGCCGAGTTAAGTGTCGAAGGAGTTGGAGGTTGAGAGACTTGGCTAAAATCGACGATTTGCTCAATACCAGAGAGAGCATGTCCAGGACCTATTCGAATCGCGAACGATACTAAGAAACGCAGGAAGAGTGTGGGTAAACGGCGAGTACACATAGTAGCCTGGATTTCTCAGTTAAAAGGTCGGAAAAGTGAGTGCGTGTGGTGGGGGGAACGTTGACTTTACGGAAAAAGAAAAAGTGAACTAATGTATGTCTCCAGTGGCGGAGACGGGCGCTGAACCGCCATACACTTGATATTTAGTATAGCCGTTTCGTAAACGACCTTAGATACCCAATTGACAAAAACAAGTTTTCATACTGGAGTTTTCAACGGCTAGGGAGCTGTTTGAGCAGCGATAATTTGTGCTCTCAGAAAACTGAGAACACATGTGGGTTCAGCGATGAACAAAGAATGTCCGTTACCAAACACGAGGATCTCACAGGGATCTCACGTTTGTATACCATGAGGATCGATGATCTACTACTACGTCTGCCAGTGTTTAGTTGCTTTATCTAAACCTTTGGATTATTCACGCAATTCACAGGAGTAGTTTTTGCATCGATTCATCTATAGTATAGTACCATATTTCAAATGTTACTTTTTGCATGGATTTCTGATCACTGGACTAACACTTGAGATTCATACGTACCAGTAGTTAGAAATGCATATCTCGAAAAGATGGGAGGCAATGATTTAGTTAAGGAGCATGGCAAACTTGGTTATCACCCGGACGCCCTCCCGATTCACGTTGAACTTGTCCAGAAGAGGATTATCGAGATACAGGCCATCACAATGTATAGGTGTGTGTTTAATCTAAGTTCATTGATTGTATAGTTCCAGCGAAAATCTTGAGCCATGAACAGCGTCTGCACTTTTGCTCGTGTATTTCACACACCGATATATAAACATTCAGCTTACCTAAAGAAAGGCACCGGAGAGAGCATGCCTTCTTGGCACTTCGAATGTCATTTTCAAAGCCACACACCTGGATTTCCAACGCCCATCGTTATAAAAATTTCGCTAATGGGTTCATGTACTCGCTCAACAGATTATTTTGACGCTGTCAAGCGAGGTAGTTCGCTGGAAACCGCAAAGCGTTTAAGCAGGTGCACCTGAAGAACGATTAAATTTAATGGTTGCTCGTTAACTACTCAATAATGTTCGTTCTCCAAAAATTCTAGCACTACACATATATCGTAACGCAATTGAAAGGAATCATTTGTTTTGACTGTGAGTCATCTTCCTAGCCATGCAATATTCTACATTAAACATAAATTATGGTCCCAACCTTCAGCTCATTCACTGGATGATATGATTTTCTGTGAATTACTTGTAGTAAACGCTACGACACGTAGCCGCCCCGTGCCTTGCAACTTTTGGAGAAAGATTTTACACTAGCTCCTTCGACAGGATAACCTGAAGTTTGAAAAGAGCTTCAGCTGCACTAGGTCGCAAGGTCGGGTCTATCGAAATGCAAGCGCAGCCAAGATCTGTCATGGACTTCGGACCTACATCTGAAAACTCTACCGTAACAGTTCCCATGGCCACTTTTTGCAAAAGAGTGGCGTCCGTCATTTGCCGCCCATGTGAAAGCTGCATCTCCTGTCTCGCCTGGGCGTATGGTAGACTGTGGGTGTCCAATTCACTCAGCACGACTCCAAACGAGAAGATGTCCGCCTTATCGTCGTATTTTTCACCCGTCATCACCTCGGGAGCCATCCACAGCGATGTCCCCACACCAGCAGTCATAGTTCGATCAAGTCGCTCTCGCGAAATCCCGAAGTCTGTGAGCTTGGCTTCGTGCATTTCGTCCAGCAGAATATTTCTTGACTTCAAGTCCCGATGGATGATTGGAGGTTCCAGTGAATGTAAATATGTTAGCGCATGGCACACGTGTAGAGCAATAGTTGTCTTTTCGCAGTCAAATCCGACCAGGTGGCTTGATCTCTTATAGCTCTCAAGTAGTGTACGCAGGTCGCCACCTTCCATGAACTCTAGAACTACACACAAATCGGAAAGAGAATCCCACGCAATACCAATGCACGTTACAATTCGAGGGTGCTCCATGCTTGCTGTTAATTTCGCTTCAGCCAGAAACTCGTTCACAAGGTGAATATCGCGGCGAGTACTTGGAAGTAGCATCTTGATTGCAACTTGGTCGTTGTTGTAGATTCCAGCATACACCTCACCGAATGCACCGCGGCTGATGAGCTTCAAAACGCGGACCTTCTCGCGCGGGATGCGGTTTGCTGTGATGATATCGTCTTCCCACAAGCCCGTTTGCCCTTTAAGCCCTCGATCTTGACTTGCTTGGGAACGACGTCGTCGAAGAACGACAACAACCGCGACAAAAGCTACTGCGGCGATTGCAAGTACAATCCCGACTATTGTAGCTTTGCTGGACCCACTGGAACTTGCAGTCGCATCAGTTGTATCGGTTGCATCGTCACGTGTAGGAAACACTCCAGTTTCCGCCCAAGATCGAACATTTTCCTCGATTTCAGGTTCGCACCACGTATTATCATCAGCGGGTATCTGTCGACATGGTACGATAAATTGAGCGCCGTTTGGACACGTGTCGTCGTCCATACTCCAGGAGCCCTTTTGTGCCAACATGTAAATTGTCGTATTGCTGCCACTGTCATTGTATTGGAACAACTGAGGGTCGAAGGTCCCGTCAATTTGGCCGTCTATGGACCAAATTGGTCCATTCTTCTGCTCGAGAGAGAATTTCCAAGACCCACGCTCAGGGTTGGTGGCACACGCAGTTCTGGTTTCAACGTAACTTGGATCACATGTCGACTCTGTGAAGCTGATGACGTTGCTTTTACACTCCTTGACTGTGAGCTCGCATGCCGTCGATTCAAATATCTGGGAGGAGAGGAAGATATCGCTCATCTCCTGGCCGCAATGGACGTACACTTGCACATACGGAGTAGCATCATTCGAGCTGGAAATAGAGTCAGTATATTCAGGGTTCGCTTGTACCCACCCGGCGCTCCATAGCAAAGCGCGTTGCAGATTATAATCGAAGTTCGTGAGATTTTCCACTGTCCCTACGATATCTGTGAGCGCCGAGTTGAGGCTTAGAGGAGTTGGAGGCTTAGTGATGGCCAAGTTTCCATACAATTGTTTGGCAATGTCAGAGCGGGCCTGTCCAGGTGTGCTTCGAATCACTAGTAGTGTTAGTACACATACAAAGAGCACGGATAAGCGGCAAGTACGCATGGAAGTACTTCTCAGCTACAAGGTCCGGGGAGGTGGTGGGATTGTTGGATCTCAGTGTGAAAGACAAAGTGATTCCAAGCGTGGAGTCAGGTGGTATTTCCAGTGAAGACGTTTCGCGATATCCGTACCCATTCCCGTTTTCTAGCCCAGATTTAGACTTTATTTTTTTTACTTATTCATCAAACCAGTGCAAAAAAGTCGATGCACACAGTTACTCGCCCTCGTTCGCTTGCATGCTTTTATACTTTTGGAGACGTCAAACGAGTGCTAGGCTATCGACCCAAAGATTCTCGCATCTGAACAGCCTATGATAGCATTTAAAAAATGTCCTCAAAACCATGTTAACAATGCTAAGCTAATAAAGTTCATTTTGAATTGAACTATAGCCATGCGTTGCCCAGAAAGCTCTGGATATTGCCGACAGAATTGAGCTTCCTTACACTAAACAGCGTTTTCTCCGTCCAAATGACAATTAGGGATCCTTCAGGCCTACCTGAAGCGGTTTAAGTAGCAAGACCAACCAAGAAGAGTGATAGAACAGACGAACGGCGTCAAATCGCGTCTTATATGTTTCCAAAAGGCTTCTATTGCGAAAACATAAAAAATCTAATAGAAGGCCACTTTACTACTACTAAAATGATAATTAGGGAAGTATTGACCATTGCTTATTACGCGCTAGTGGGGAGCGCGTTCGTTTGGTAGTTAAGAGTGGTTGCATTAGTAGTGAAGGCTTTTTCACTAAAAGCTAAAGTAGCCAAATCACTTCTTCATGGACCATGCGCGTCACAACAAAGGCACCACGAAGACGAAGGTAGCACAAAGGCCGAGGAAGGAGCAAATACAGTGCATTTATTGTTCATACCAGGGAAGTAGGTATTTAGCTTGATCGAGATTTAGCTGCCCTAAGGACATCTCAAGCAGTATTTAAGTAAGTCCTTACGGCGGTTTTATCGTTAATGTAACGGGTTAATACCTGGTTAAGTTTTAAGCTTCCAACGGCAGGTCCTACGCAATACGTTGCTTGAATGTCGTTCTTGTCCACCTTGGTCAACATTCACGCATCTGTGATAAGGTTTCGCATTTTATTACATACTTATTGCGATGTACGCATATCATACCGTAAGTACTTCATAACTACGATATCAACCTAAGTATGCATTTGTACAGGTTCACCGAGGGTCTGCGGTCCTGGTAAGAACTCAGGATATTAATATCCAGAGAACAACGCAACTACCAACGCTTTTTGAAGATTCGACTTCTTGCAATCTGAAATACTTTGACTTTCAAAGT